GAACGGGTCCCATATGAGGAGAGATTAAAGAGGCTAGGACTCTTCAGCTTGGAAAAGAGGAGACTAAGGGGGGATATGATAGAGGTATATAAAATCATGAGTGATGTGGAGAAAGTGGATAAGGAAATGTTATTTACTTATTCCCATAATACAAGAACTAGGGGTCACCAAATGAAATTAGTAGGCAGCAGGTTTAAAACAAATACAAGGAAGTTCTTCTTCACGCAGCGCACAGTCAACTTGTGGAACTCCTTACCTGAGGAGGTTGTGAAGGCTAGGACTATAACAGCGTTTAAAAGAGAACTGGATAAATTCATGGTGGTTAAGTCCATTAATGTCTATTAGCCAGGATGGGTAAGGAATGGTGTCCCTAGCCTCTGTTTGTCAGGGGATGGAGATGGATGGCAGGAGAGAGATCACTTGATCATTGCCTGTTGGTCCACTCCCTCTGGGGCACCTGGCATTGGCCACTGTCGGTAGACAGGATACTGGGCTAGATGGACCTTTGGTCTGACCCGGTACAGCCGTTCTTATGTTCTTATGTTATGTTAACCAACCTGGCAGGCATGTGATGGTGCTGCTAGGAATGTTTTTTCCTTGGTATAAAGGCCTGACAGGTCTGACAGGCCAAACTCTCCCAGCAGCATCAAAAAGCAAGCAGGGACCACGTTCAAGGGGCTTGGATACATCATCAGAATCCAAGAAACACAGTGGCCTGAGGCTAGGCTGACCCTCAGTGGGAGCAGAAAAGGATAGGCTCTGAACTAACAGTCAACTAAAATCTCGATTGTGTCCATTCCTGGCCACTCCTGGCTGGCTGAGTTATGGGAAGCTATTGTACACATAGCCATTTCCCCAGTGAATGAGCTCTCTGGGCATAACCCATGTTGCCAGACCTCCAGAGCAGTGCTTCCAGGGTAACTTCTGAAGCTAGCAGCACAGTAAGCAGAGCTGCAGCCAGGAAACAGGGCCTCCTTGTCCCTGTCCTGCCCCTGCCTCCAGAGACAGCAGCCCTCCACAGATCCTGTAGTTCCTGCCTTTCCTCATCTCCAAGGACTCTCACCTTCGGCAAGGTTCAGAATTGTCGAGGAACTGCACAAGTCTCCTTCCCTGCTGCACTGGTTCCTTGCTGGTTCCCCCACCAGCTGCACTGGACACAGGCCAGACCTGCTGTTGCTGCTGCTGCTCCTGCACTAAGTGTACTTACTGAGACACTGTGCACACAGCCCGACTCTGAAGCCCAGACCTGGGGCAGCTGCCCCAGCTGTTGCCAGTGGTGGGAACTTTGACCATTAGCAAACCCTACGCTGGGCCTGCCACTGATCAAGATATGGGCCTATTTTTCTCTCACAGGAGCTGGAAAGGCTGGAGGTGGAGCGGGTGGAAATGATTCGGCAGCACCTTTGCCAGTACACACAGCTGCGGCACGAGACAGACATGTTCAACCAAAGCGTGAGTCTACTCTTTGTTTAGGTCCCTTTGGTCCAAGAGCTGTAGTGAGGCTCTGCTGAACTCCAGCCTGGTTGTGTATACAGTGTGCTAAATTCCACTGTCTAATGGAGACTGAGATGTAAGTGGTGCCAGTTTGGGAGTCTGTGGTTGTGCACCTACCATGTATCTCAGAGACATTCAGAACCTGGGGGCGAGACAAATGGAAGAACAGAGAAGTGGGTCAGAAGGGGCACATCCACTGGAAGGTTTCATCGTGAAAGCCCTGTGGTGCAGGGTGTGGCTCAGAAGTGCTTGACAGGAAGGCATAAGGCAAAGCAGCCCCTTACTTTAATTTACACCTCTCCTAGATAGATGCTTCTCACTCTCCCAATAGCACACACAGCTCCACACAGTCCTTCATTGTTGCAAGAAAGATGGCAATCACAGCAACCATTATTTCAAAATGAAAATGTAAAATCTTGTAAAACTGGCACCTTTTCAAATACTTGCATATGTGGTATGGATTCTGATGTGCATGGTATTCAGTATATTGTGATATATTTGAGGCTATATATTCACATTACAGAAATCATACAATCATAGCCATATACATCATAACATATATTGATAATTGTCATAGTGCAGGTAGTCCCAGCGCTCTCCACTGCGCGCAGGCTTAGTGCCATGGGTGAGCCCTGCCTTGGTTTCCCCTTACCCAGGCAATAAACAAGTCCAAGCAGGCCTTTGGGAACCACAGAGCACCTTCTTCGGCGGGTCTGTTATGAAATAGAAAAGAACCACACAAAGCATAAGCAAAATCTTCAGTCAGCTCTTCCACTGGAAACCCTCTGCCTCTGGGTGTAACTAATCTTACATCCTGGCCCTTTAGCCATGGAGCACTCGCACGCTGAATTCCTTGCCTGGGGCGTGGGCCTTTGCGGGGCGTTCTGCTGGCTGCCACTCTTCCCCGACCATGCTGCTCTTTGCTGAGTAAGTCCCTAGTGGCTCCCCAAGAGATCCCATGCCCAGTTCATTCTCCTGGGCTGCTCCTGTCCCTTCCCTGGGAGAACTTTTTCTCTGGGACTGCTCCTCTCTCCAGGAGCCCCTCTCTCTGAGAGCAGCTTCCCCAACCAAACTCAGGTAGCCTTTTTTATTAGCTCCAGGTGCTTGTTTATTAATTAACCACTAAGCAGCCACCTAGGACAGTGAATTACTCCCAGATATACCTTCAGAAGGCAGTCACTGGGCAAACTGGGCCGTGACTCTCCTTAAAGGGCCAGTCACCCCATGATAATATTTAAAAGAATGTTATTATGGTTGAAAAGTCAAGCATCTAAAAGTTAGGAAATACCAGAGTTACAGCTGCCTGTGCAACCTTAATTTGGATCCTTGTGCATATGCATTATGGTACTCTCTAATTACATGACTACATATTTTATTCACAGCATGATCATGTAGTTTATCCTCAGTATTCAACATGTGCCTCAATTACTACAAACCATCTAAACATTACACTCAGTTTTTATTTCTTCAGGGTCTTTCTGTGGTGCTCATCACCATAGCATCTCAATCTCACAAACATTAATGAATTTACCTTTACAACACCTCACAGGCAGGGAAGTACTAGTAGCCCCATTGTATGAATGGGGACAGGAGGCACAGAGAAATTAAACTCAAACTGCAAAAGTCCCCAGTAATTTTGGGTGCCACAGTGATTGGGTGATCAAGTTTTCTGAGTTGTTGAGCTATTGAATTCAGTTGCAGTTGCAAGTGCTCAGCACTAGTGCAAATCAGGCCTCAGATGTCTGAGGCTGGTCACCCACAAAATAGGAACACATAATTAGTGGCCACTTCTGAAAATTTTCATTTTAAGTAGTTTGCCTAATATCACATAGGAACTCTGTTGCAGAGCCGAGGAAAGAACCCAGATTTCACAAGTCCCAGGAAGACTGCTTTAAACACATGTTCCTGTTTTCCCTTTCTGCAATTCACTGCCACAGTCACTGCATCCTTTCTATCTTCTGCTATGGACAGCCTCCTTCACTACACAGCCCTGCCTCTTAACATCCATCCCGTGCACCATATGAGGCAGGTGTCCTGTGAAAATAATAGTACCTGATCATGCAATTAAATACTTTTCCATAATGCAAACACACAAGGGGCCAAATTAAGGTTGCACAGCCAGTCTTAATTCTGGGATTGGAGTCCTTCATTTTACAACTGTTTGACAATTCTTTTAATGTAATTTTTGTATGGAATTCCCTGGCTGGTCACGTGTTTTAAGAAAAATGGATCAGCACATGTGCAACTATTTGCTAAGGAGCAGAATACTATCAATCAATTATTCCTAGCTCTTGGAGGGATGGGTGATCTAGTAGTTAGATCAGCCGATTGGGAATTAGGATTCCTGTGTTCTGTTGTATAAAATGATGTGTACATTTATCAGTGAGTTTGTAATGGTAAACAAAGAAGAGAATTTTACAGAAAGGAAGATGAAACACATAGATGTGGAACTTCCTTTGTGAGAAGTATAGGTCAAGAATTGGGGTTCTATTCAAGCTGTCCCAGAAGCAACTGTTCTAGTCTTTAGTTATCCTGTCTGTAAAATATGGGAAATAATTCTTAACTCCCCATGCAGTACAGAGAGGAGGTGCTCCTGCCATAGACCAAGGCGTGTTTTGATTTGCAGGAGCAGGTATTTTGCCTGAAACCCATATGGAAACACAGTTCCATGCAATCATTCCAAAACAATACAATGTGACAAGATTGAGCAGTCATTGAACAAGTTCAGCTGCAAATGGTGATTTTCCACATTTTAGAACTGTGGGGAAATGTAGTCAGCAGAGGGCAGAGCCTCGAGGAAAGGGGGCGTGGTGTCATGGCAGGGACGGGGCTAGGATGTTCGGTTTTGTGCGATTACAAAGTTGGCAACCCTACTGTCACACTAGGAATTGGATGCAGCATACACTGGACTTGCCTCACCAATGGTATGATTCCTCTTGCAAAGCCTGTATTTTGTCTGACCTCCCATTTATGGATCCAGCTAATTGAGAGGAGGCTGTTACTCCTGCGACAGTGACACAGCTAATTCAGTTGCAAGGAGATCTTGCAGCAGGAATTGCTCTGTGTTCTGATATGTGCTTTTGATACTTTGCTTCTCATTCTGATCTTTTTAGACAATAGAGCCTGTCGATCAGTTACTTCAAAAAGTGGAGCCTGCCAAAGACAGGGAACTGTGGGTACAAGAACACAAAACTGGAGATATCAGACCTGTGGACATGGAAATATAGACTGATCTGATTAGTGATATGTGATGGGTTCGCTGGTTTAACCAGGCTAATGGGTCCTGTAAAGGTTCAGAAGAGGTACAGGACGACAAAAAGGTTGCTCTGCTACCAGATACCTTGTATTTATTGTCTGTAGGGAGTATCTCTGTCACATTTGATCATCACATCAGTTCCCGTTGTGCTATGCCTTAAGCTCCCAACATTCCAGGGTTAAGAAGCCAGATGTCTGTTCTTCCTGTCAGAAGTTTCCAGCTGCCAGGGATGTGCTGCTGCCAGGAGAAACCGAGGCCTTTGCTTCCTGGTACAGAGAGAGCTCTGTTCTTCAGTGACTGTGCACTACACCCATTGCATGACTCTCTTTGTGTAGAATGTAAGAACAGCCATGCAGCAAGCCTCTGCCATGGAAGCAGACTAGTGATTTGACTATGATGCTGGAAGCAAGGAGCTCCTGAACATGGATCCCAGCACTGCCACTGCTCAGCTGGATGGCCTTGGGCACATCACATAACTTTTCTGGTTCCTCCATTTATAATAAGGGGCTCATAATACTTACCTACCTCACAGGGGTGTTGTGAGGGTACATTGATTTTGTATAATACTTTTTAGCACAACTACCTTGCTACGGTAGTATGTCTGAGTGCAGGGAGGTACGGGCTTTTCCCCAAAGCAGTAAACAAGGCGAAAGGCTAGGAGAAAACCCCACAGAGGAAAGACACCTGTTCAAGCCCTTCCTGTTTTATAATCCCACTCAGAGACATATAGATCCTCGATCATCTCCATTTCTCTTTGAGGCTAATAGAAAGTAAGATTGAAAGGGACCTCTTGCACTATCTGTTTACCAGGAAGGACTCGGTTGTGCTGTAGCTACCTCATTAATTGTCTGGTTGACTTAAGTGACAAAAAGAGGACACCTACCATGGAATAAATTTGATCTTCAAGTCCATTCCTGCCTATATAGTGTGATGTCTTACAGTCTCTGCTTTCTGCAGGATCTTCTAACACTCCCTTTGGGAGGTCATTTCCCAACCAAATGGATCCAAGTTTAAATTAGCCTTTGTTTAATTTCCTCGAAATAACTCCTAGTTTGTAGCCTTTTGGATGCCCATGCACTCCATGTCTCTCCATCCCTTTCTCGCTTTCCTTGGTGTTTACACCCATCAGATGTCTGCAGATAGTTAGCAGGTCTATTCTATTCTATTCTGTTTAGGTTTTTATACTGCACTCATCACTAGTATCTGAGCTCTTTCCAGCAGTGCATTAACAAGTGCAGCTACACATCTGTCACATGTTGTTTGTTCTCGCATCCTCCCCCAGAAGGAGAAACATGCAGTGAAGTGTCTTGTTTTGGTAGTTTTTAAAAAAATCTTATTTATTAAATATCCCTGTCTCTACATGTTTATATTGGAGAAGGCAAGGTCAAAGTAATGTGCCTTGCACTTGGAGCTTGAAAGTGGTGAGGTTATAATAGTCATTACTTCCTGGGGGAGTTCATTCCACAGTCTTGGACTGGCCCCAAAGAAAATTCTGTCTCCTGCACAAATAAGCTTGACTCTTTTGTTGAGTGTTCCACTGTGCCAAAAGAGCGTAGCTAACCATGGGCTTCATCTTGGAGCTGTACATGGTCTTTTTGGGCCCTGACCATGCAGTGCTTTGAAGATAAGGACCTAGACCATGAACTTGATTTGAAATTCTATGGGAAGGTCACAGTGTAGAGCAGGAGGACAGGCTCCCGATAGCCTGTATTGCAAAGGGAAGACACTGCAGTGTTTTGCACTAGTTGGAGTTTCCAAACAGCTGAAGGTTTCATGCCCAGGTATATCACATTGTTGTAGTCCAGCAGTGATAAAGGCACAAATAACAGGCTAGGTTTTCATCTGCCAGGATGGGACAGAGATTACTCACAGCTGTTGTGATGAGAGAAGTCAACATTAGCGAGGAATCCATGAGTACTTCTAGACTACAGACTGAATTGACCAGTTGTGGATATGTACCTTCAACCGAAGAAGACTTCATTGGGGCTGCAAACTCTTCAAAATATTTTCCTCTGCCAAATAGATTTTCTAAGGCACCAAGCACGTGCATATCTATCTGACTTTCGGTGTAGTTGAGGGTGCCCAATACTTTTGAAAATCAGGCCCTTAACCTGTCCTTATAATGTAGCCCCTTGTCCAATTTTGTTGCTTTTCTCTGAATTTGTTCCTGTTTCGCACTGTCAGAACTAGGGACAGAATGCTTACCAATGCCATTTGATATTTATAGCTCTTCGATGTTATATAGCTATGTAAGTTTGACATTATCTTTGAATTACAGTTTTTTCTTGTCTCCAGTATTATTCCTGTTAAACTTTGCAGTTAACCCCTTTTTGACATTGCACAGGACTGCAAGTTCCCTTTTTTAGATTCAGCAGAAATCTTGGTTATGGCTCTTTTGGTCCTGCCACTTGATCATCACATTGGTAACTGGAACAGGTTTGGAGAAGGGCTATTAGGATGATCAGGGGAATGGAAAGATGATTTTAGAGGAAATTAAAAGAGCTTGGCTTGTTTAGCCCAGCAAATACCTTCACACTTTCTCCCACACCACCCAATATGCATAGGAGCACCCTGTAAAAACCTGCAATGCCTTTACACTGTCCTCCTTCAAATGCCACCTTACAGCTCTCCTCTGCCATCATGCCTACAAAGCTAGTGCACCGGCATGCTGGGACTGTAGCTTAGCACTCTGATCAGAATCATCTCCCTGTTACCGTGAGTTGTTGGGCTTTCTGCTCCTTCCTTGCCTGTGAGAAAGGTGTCAACTCCTGAGGGGTGGGGGAGAGAATTGCCTGGTTCCTGCAGCAGCCGTGATTGGCTGCTCTTCCCCAGGAGGCAGACAAATGGGGCCAGACAGTCAATCAGAGAGAAATTTTCCCTAGATGGTGTTAAAAATGTGTGCCCCTCAGCCACCTGTCTCACTATTTAGAAATGTTATTTCCTGGAGATACACCACTGCACATTCTGAGCACTGGCTAGACTAGAACCCAGTTCCTCTGACTTGCCTTGCTGCTCTAATGGGTACATCACATTGTGATGACCTGCCTTTCCTGCTGTTTCTCTGATCACTCCCCATCCTCATCAATTGTTTGGTTTGATTATTATTACATTGGTTTTCTGCTTTAGTGATGTGTCCTTCTGTTACCTTTACTGAGCACTTTAGATGACAGGCACTGGAAAAGTCAATAAAATGTAAGGTAATGTTTTCAAAAGTACAATTTCAAAAGTACAATTTCCAAAAGCCAAAAAACTCTGGCATTTAGGAACCTAAGTCTTACTGCAGGTAAATTTGAAAATGTTGTCTATTAGCACAAGAGTGGCTTTCTTCCAGGCCTCTTGTACTATCCCAGTTTCCAAGCTTTAGTACAAATTAAAATGAATAATTTGGAGAACTCTTCAGCCAACTCTTTTAAAACTTTTGCAAGCAAATGATCAGTTTTGCAGATTTTGTGCAACATTTGTTTTAGTTACTGTTGAAACAGAAAGTGTTTCACCATAATTATATAAATAAATAACTACATAATCCAACTTCATTCCAAATGCAGGACATAAATATTTATTGAACACTTCTGCCTTTTCTGCATCATTACTGACTATTTTAGTACTCCATCTAGTAATGAAACCTACATCACTGGACATAAATAAATTAAAATTATTCTAACCATATTGACCATAGATTTTTTGATAATACCTTTAGCTTCTCTTATCAATTATCTGCATTTCTTAACTTTAATTTATATTTATTATTATCAATTTCCCCTTTTTTATTCATCATTTTTTTTCCTGTTTCACATCCCTTCTTAAGCTAGTGAAGGGTTTTATGGGTATTTGTTTTTGTTTGCTTTTTAACTGAACAGCCTTTTCTCATGACTGAAGAATTGTGGACTTTGGGACATGTAGTAAAGCATTCTTAAATGAGTAACTATTTTAATGCATACATTTCTATTTAAGTTTTTTATTCCCAATCAGTTTTGCTCATAATTAATTTACCTTTTGGAAACTGGCCCATTTAAAATGCTAAGTATATATACATATTACTAGTTGGGATTGTATTATTTTTGCTCATAAATATTTCAGGCAGATCATGATAACTAGCACTTTTTATGTCAGTAATAAATTAATCTTCGAGTCAGAATGAGGACAGCAATACTTTTTTGTGTTAGAAAATTGTCATGTTTAATTTAAAGAGACTCCAAAGAAGTTTTACTGTTGGAACTAGAAGATCTCCAGTTTATGATTTGTGTATTTGTTTCCACATAAAGGACAATTAGTGAGAATTTCCCAGCATTTCTCAGGATGCTCTTTGTCACATGCCTTGTTTTTCACCCCAGAGGTGATATACTGTTCTTTTAGCTAAATCTGAAACAAATGCAGGTATTCTGAGCCACATCCATCAGCGGTGGGTCCCCAGCCTCTTGTATCCAGCTGACTGTCAGTCTTGGGTTTTCAGTAGCCACTCTTCTCAGCTTGTTTGTCCTCTAGCTCACTAAGGGTGGAATATTTATTACCATTGTCTAGGTTGAATGGCTTTGTATGCTCCTCTTCATTTCTCCCACATTGTTCAATCTCATTCACATCTTCTCCCTCCATAGCCTCAGACACTTCCTTTCCCCTCACAACTGCAGCGTAATCTACCCATTTTAACTTCTTGATGTTGTCAGCAAACTGAGCTTGTCTGAGTCCTTCACATTCTACCACAGGATGCAAAACAGTTTGCATGTCACACACACGTAGCCTTTTCGGTCTTCATACACCAGCCTGCCATGTATTTTTGGGCAGCCATTTATTGATGTATCTTACTTAAAACAAACCATCTTTTTAAGGCCTATCTTTCTCACTCTTTGAATTCCTTCTGGAACCAACCCATTTGCTGTTTCCAGTTCATTGCTAGGTGGATGTGCTAAGCCCTGGCTTTAACAAAGAAGTCAGATCTGCCTCTTCAGTGACTGACAAGCCCCCTGCTGTTCTCACAGATGAAGAGCTACCAAACAAGGCTGCTGAAAGATTCCCAACCTGCTCTAAAAGCTCTCAGCTCCATAGCCAGCATTTCTGTGCAGCCACTCAGCGCTCAGGTTGCTGTAAGCCTGCGAGAACTCACCCTTAGGAACACTGGGTCGGTGATTGTGACAGCCTGAGAGCTCTGGAGGCTGCATTTTTCAAGACGAGTTATTCTAAAAAAGTCATGAAGTCATGGAACAAAATCCTATTAAAATAGCTGTTTTCTCCTACCAAAGTAATTTTCTCATATACAACTTTGCCTGAGTGCACATCTGGAGCAGCTTCCCTGGAACAGCTGTAACTTTGTTTGCAATGAGCACTAGAAGCAAACCTTCTCCATTGCAGCGTATAAAAGAGGAAAATGTTTGCTTGCTCATGGGGTTATTGTCTCATTGTGTTTCACTTTGCTGTGCAGTTTCACACTGCTTTGTTGCTGCTTTTCATTTGCATGTTTCCTACACAACAGTGTTACCGGTGTGCTTAACTATTCTCTGGCAGAAAGTTACATTCCCAACACCCTATTTTAACAATGTATCCGATATTTTCAATGGGAATTCTGACTAAAGCTTTTAGAGAAGGTTAGGTCAATGGATTCAAACCAGCACTAGTAATAACTGCTCAGACTGAGAAGGGTACTACCCAACCTCTGCATTTCAGCAAGGTTTTAAAAAATGGGTTAATTGGACTCCTCGGTCCACATATAGAAATACATGGCCTGCTCTCCAGAAGTGCTGAGCATTTACAACTCTCTTGGAAGTAAATGGGAGGTAATAGGCAAAGAGAATCTTTGGAAATCAAACTACTGATCTAGGTGCCTAAATAAGGACTTGGTCCTAATTAAGGCTTCCATTTAAATAAAAAATTGTGACCTTTCAAGTCACCAGCAGATGTCTTCCCACCCCAGTACAAAAACACCAGTTCTGCTACTAATTATGAATGAAATTGTGGCCAAAACAATGCTGTAAAGAATTCAAACTGTACAAGATCCATAATGTGCCCATAGAGAAATACCCTACTGTTGTTCCAGCTCCTTTTCACCACGGCATGTGAACTGGCTTGCCTGATACTCAGTAATATAGTGATTCCCTGGTCACTTCTCAAGGGTTCATCAGGATACTAATGTATGGCAACACCCAAGTCATGTCCAAAGATTTCCCAGGTTCCTGGGAGGGCGGTGATGTCCAGAATCACACCAGGCCACCACATGACTCAGGGTCCCACATACACAAACCCTACCCCAGGCATCCTCCAAGACTTGGGAGCACATGCATTCTTTCTCTGACATAATGAGGACACGTTCTTTTTCATTTGCATGTCTTTTCTTTGGGGATTTCTTCTGCACACCTGCTATCTGTGCAATGGTCATTACGTCATGTTTTAAAGTAGATCTTATCCATAAAGGTATGTGATTTCTGTTTCTGAATGCTCAGCTCCTAATTGTTATTTTAGACACATTTCCACCAGAGCTTTATCTGTTTCCAAGCATCTTGTTCTTCAGTTTAGATTTTCAGATGTCACTGTCATGTTTATATTGCACTAATGTTCAGAACAAGATGTCATGCTTCTTGGATACATTTCTAAAAGTGACTGGTGCTCAAACTATGCTTCAAGCTCCAGTGGTTGGAAGTGCAATTACGCCTTTTTGGGCTATACACCATAGACTCCACTAATCCTTCCAAGTCTGTTCACCAATGGGACCAACACTTGGCATAGTTTGATTTCTAATTTTTAATCCCATGCACTCCACAAGGCAGAATCCTTTTGTGCCTGTCTAAAGATATGATTCTAATATGCGTACATTACTAAAGTCTTGTAAAGACCTTTTAAATAACATTTCAGGTCAATAGCATAAGAAACAGAGAAAATATTTACTCGGATTTGAAACAGAGATGTGCAAATATAAATTCCCTCAACTTATATTAAGTTGGACTATTTTTAAAATATGGTATGAAAGACAAACTCAGTAGGAATGCAGACAAAGCCTACCAGTTACTATGTTCAGATTCCCTGAGCTTCCAGGAATACAATTTGAGCAAATTGGTTTCATTTCTGCAGATTTCTTAGGTAACTGAACAATGGTTTGAACCTCAACTGCAATTCCACAAAAATACAATTAGTAACTCCCCCAAATTCTAAGTGCCTCTTTCAATTGTACCTGCTACAGTTACACAAGTATAAAAATGCATAGACCCACCTCATGAACTTCCACAGCTCAGGAGCAGCCAGTGTACAGACCTCGGCAGCTTTCTCAGTTCCCCTTTGATGCTCCCATACTGTCACTCAGTGCAGACCCAAACCCATTTGATGTTACCTCACTGATTATTAATGTCAAGTATGGACATCAGAAATGCTTGCCACTGAAATTGAGGGGATAGCAAACTCTAGTCATGCTAAAGAGAAGGCCCATCCACTGCCTCTTCGTCTTGCACCAGCCTCTGCTTCCTTCTCCGCTGCTCTTTGTTGGGTCTATTCCTTGTTTTGGGAGGGATCCGATGAGCTTTCTAGTGCACATTCATTTCAGTGGAAGTTGAGGTCATTCAGCATTTCACATGATCAGGAGCTTTGTCACACTTGCCTTGGAAGGGTAGAGTCCTTCATGCCACTCAAAGAGAAATGACCCTCTCCTAAAGGGCATTCAGAACAACCTCCTACGCTAATCTTCCAACAAAGGAGCCTTCTATACAGGGGTGCCATTGAAACAAGCTGCAAACGTCACATAATGGGTCTGAATAAAGGCCACACTGGACCCAAGCAAATGCTGTTTTCTGATGAGGTCCCTGTAAATGAGGACTCGTCTCTCTGGGGCTGTCACTGTGTCAAAGTGACTCAGCATGGGAGTGGGGTCACCATGTGTATTGGCTGAGGACTGGGACTGGCGTTTGAAGAGTATTTCTTGGGGTACTCGGGTTTGCAAGACGTCACTGTCTAGTCATTTGGATTTAGGAAGGTTTGTCCTGAGACTTGCCGCTCCTTCAGAGTAATGGGTACTAGGGCTGCGATTTTTAAAGCTGCCTTGGGGGTTTGCCCAATTTCCATTCACTTGGTCATACACAGAGAGAACAGCATCTAAGAGCAACAGTATCAGTCTGTTCTGGACAGAGCAGGTGGCAATATCAAACAAATGGAATCTCCTCTTTTTAAAATTGCTTTCTTTGTTTCAACAGTCCAAAAGAAGGTGGGAAATGCAGTGAGTAGTTTGGCAGACAGTCTAACTGCAGTTGTTCAAAAGCAGATCAGATCAGTGGTGAGCCATGTTCTAAAGCAGTTTTCTAATCAAATGAAGTTGCCTATATGGTCCTTTTGCTAAATACTGACTAAATTTTTAAAGTAACAATTGTCTTTTGCCAGTACTAATGACCTCTTTTTTAAATGTGTTTAATCAAAATTTTATATCTTTCCACAAATATTGTCTGAATAGACCCGTAAATAACTTATGTAACATAAGATCTGTATCTGAATAACAATAGTAAATCTTTGATCAGTGTGTAAATTGTAATGTGGTCATTGTCCCATAAAAACATATGATCGAATCATTTTGGCTGAAGAATTGAATGCTCAAGAGGTTTAAGGACCTTAGCTGGGTTAATTGGCATAGCTCCACTGAAGTTAATAGGGCGGTGCTGATTTACACCAGCTGTGGATCTGGTTCTTAAGTGTTGAAAGCATTTGCTATACATAATTTTTCTGTCTTGCAAAAAGTTTAACTGTATTTTCCTGCATTATTCATGAGTGTGTATGCACCTCAGTGCTTCATCTCATCCTTTGTAAAATAAATTGTACAGAGATACATCGGCTGACCGTGGTGTTATATTTACCAAATTGTTGTTTTAAATTAAAAGCACACTGTCATAACAATTACACACGTGGCTGTATCTCCTCCACCTGCTGCTCCAAAGAATTTCTGCTATACGATGGGGCTCATCAGTTGAAAGTGACAAAGGAGGAGAAAGACCTGGTTGTATTAGTTGATTATAGGATGACTATGAACCATCAATGTGATGCAGCTGTGAAAAACGCAAATGCAATCCTAGGATGTATCAGGCAAGGTATATCCAGTAAAAATAGACTCACCTTGGTGAGACCTCTTCTGGAATACCGTGTACAATTTTGGTCACCCTTGTTCAAGAAAGATTAGTTCAAACTGGAATAGGTGCAGAGAAGAGGTATCAGGATGGTGAATCTATTTTGTGAGAAAAAGCACGTAAGTTGTTTAGCCTAGCAAAATGAAGGCTGAGAGGAGATCTGATTGCTGTCTATAAATACATCTGGGGAGGGGGTAAACACCAGGGAGGGTGAAGGGCTATTTAAGCTAATGGACAGAGTTGGCCCAAGAATAAATGGGGATAATCTGCTCATGAATACATTTAGGTTGAAAATTAGAAGGTTTCTAATAGACCTTGGCAAAAAAAAGTGGTGAGTAGTTTATTTGCGGAAATATGCAGTTTTGGTTGACCGAAAACTATTCGTGAATTTGTGTCAAGTTCACCAAATAGTTTCATCTGAACTGAAAAATTTAAATGTTTCAGTAATAGCAAAATGAATAATTTTTGTTTTGACATTACTAAAGCATTTTGATTTTTTGGGCTAGAGTCACAAAACCGCTGGAGGAGGCAGTAGTGTTCTTCTTATAACTTCTAGCCCAATTGTTAGGGCACTCACCTTGGATGTGGGGGATCCAGGTTCGCAGAAGAGATTTCAACGTGGGTTTTCTACAGTGCAGGAGAATGCCCTAGCTACTAACCTATGGGACAGTCTAGCTTCACAAGGGTCTATCTCAATCACACCTGTTGAGGCTGTTCAACTTTTTAAAAATAATTAGCGTCATGGAAGCAGATACTTGAACTTGGGTCTCATAGCTCATAGGTGAATGCCCTTAGCACCAGGCTATAGAGTCATTCTTTTTTTTCAGCCTTGGCTGAGTAAATATTAGTCATTCATATTGTGTGATTCATAATGAAGTGCTATATTAGATTATCCCATACCCCAATGGCTAGGATACTCTTCTGCAATGTGGGATACTTAAGTTCAAGTTCCTTTCCCATATCAGATGGATAGGAATTGGCTCCAGGTCTCCCTCCAACAAGGTAAGTTCTGCAACCAATGGGCTAAAAGCTATCAAGAAGAAACCTCCACCCCCACCTCTTTTTCTGGCCATTCAGTGAATGTAGGTCTCCTTTGCTGTTGTTAAAAAGCCCAAAAACAAAGCAAAAAAAAAAAAATCAAGTCACATCCAGCTTGTCATTCAACCCGTCTCAACATTTTTCTTTTTTTTTCAAATACATAGAAATGTATTTCTTTTTAAATGACTTTTCAATTTGCCAAACG